ACTGGCCTCATTGCCACTGGGAAGATCGCTAGGATGAGGATGAGGAAATGACTGAAACAAACATCACACAAAAGATTTTGTTTGGCACTATCCTTGATCATGTAGTTAGACCAAAATGTAAAATACACAAAATATCACAATGATGAAGTACAGGAAATTAGAACCAAAACACACTGCCATCAAGTTGATCCTGACTCATATAGACCATCTAAGACAGAGTAGGACTGCCGTGGGTTCCCATGACTGTAACTCTTAAGTGGATTAGAAATCTTCATCGTTAGCCCACAAAGCAGTAGGTGGTTTCCAACTGTTAATCTTGCAATTAGCAATCCAAAACTTGATCCATTGCATCGTCAAGGTTCCTTTACAGAAGAAGATGCTGTTGTTAGGTGCCGTCAAGTTGGTTCCAACTCATAGAGACCTGATGTCCAACAGAACGAAACATACCTGGTCCTTAACCGTCCTCAAAGTTGTTCTTAAATTTAAGCCCATGGGACAGCCATTGTGTCAATCCATATTGTAGGGGTTTTCTTCTTTTTTGCTGCCCTCCCCTTTATCAAGTACAATGGTCCTTTTTTAGGAGCGTGTCTCTCCCGGTAACAGGAGTTAAAGGTAAGAACAGGACTGGGGTAAGGGAGAAATATGTGTAGCAATGGGTTACTAATTTTTTAACTTCTCTTTTCCTTGGTGATTATTCATGGAGCTTATTACATTATAAGTGTAACAAATTAATTAAAGCAAAAACAAAAGCCATTAGCATCAAGCCTCATTTTTGACTCATCTCAACCATAGAGGACAAAGTAAAAGTGCTCAAAGTGTTTATGAAAGGCTCCTGCTGCATTGGTCTACCGTAGTGCTGCTGATTGACTGGAGCTGCAGCCCTTTGGGTTAGCGGTGAAGCGTTTACCTCCTGTGCAAGCAGGGCTCCCTGAAAAGTAACTGCAAAATATAGATGAGATCTTGTCATGAACCAGATACTATGATCATTCCAACTTTGTGCACCAGAGGGCTGCGAATCTTTCTTAAGAAAGAAACAGATGTGTGAATGGATTTGGGGCTCACCCTTAATTCTAGCTCCTGTATGAGGACAATTAGTTTTTATGACATGGCTTTGCTTTGTGCTCACCCTCATGAAGATAGCATTGAATATATGGATGCTATAGCAAAGCGTGGTAAAGGAACTAGCTGGTGCCAGGCTATTAGAAAGAATAACATATGGGGTCTTAAAGGTTTGTCTTCAAATAAGCAGTCATCTGAGTGAGACATCACATAGGCTCACATAGAAGAATCACACCAGCCTGTGGGATCCAAGGATTGTAAATAATATAACCCAAATCTAAAGGAAGGAAAAGTGTCAGAGCTTAAATTATCAACATCTGGTTTGCAGAAGGTGATGGATGACAGTGTGATCCCCATCCCCCCCCCCCAAAAAAAAAGGAGGACCTGATGCCAGAGGCTTAAGTGGAGAGCAAATGCTTTGAGAATGATGAGGGCAATGAATGTCCAAATGTGCTTTACACAATTGATGTATGTATGGATTGTCATAAGAGTTGTATAAACCCCTAATAAAATGACTAAGAAAAAAAAGAATGCAATTTTTAATGCTATAAAATTGGAAATAACCTAAAAGTCCAACAATAGGGAATGGTTAAATAAATGATTAAATAAATTAAATAATGGTTAAATAAATTAGGTCTCATTATGAGTTAGTTAATTGTGCCAGCCTGGTCAATAATCACATGTGGGGCTAATTGAAAGGTGGAGGGATAAATGGGTGGTGAGCCTCGCTTTTCTCGGGTCTTGTTTTGTGATGGTCGTACCGGGTGTAGCTGTCTTAGCAGTTCCCTGCTTCAGCTTGCAAGATTGACTTCCTACAAGACACCCCCAAGGAGAAGCTACATGGACCTATCCCGATGCAGCCCTGGGTGCTGGAGCAGCCGTGTGGAGACTCCTGCTAGTGCTGAGATGCTTTTTCGTTCACTGACTCAGCTTTCCTCCTGCAGTCGGTATCATTGCCTCTGTTTTTTGAGGTGGAGGACTTTGTGAACAGGTGTTGAGTTAATGGGTTAATGTTGGACTTGTGGGCTTGGGCAGCATTGGGTTGGGATGTTTTCGTGATGCACATTTTCTTTACATAAAACTCTCTCTTATACATGAGTTGCTGTGGATTTGTTTCTCCAAAGAACCTAGACTAATACACATTAATACAAAAAAAATCCATTTTCAAGGTTCACACAGTCAGGCCCCTCTGATCACAGACCAGGGATGTGAATAGCATTGCTATCACGCAGAATCTAATCAGGTTTTGTTCTATTTTTCTGTATTTTGTTTTCTAGGTTTTTCTGTATAGGAAATCCAGAATGAGTAGAGCTACCAAGACAATGATTGCAATGATGGTTTCTTGAGGGTGGGGGAGCTTGGGGGTAGGTAGAGGGTTGATGAAAATGAATACAAGAAAGAGGTGAATGCCTTAAATTTGATTGTAGAGATTACTGTACAACTCTTATTAATATGTTTGACGTATTGGATTATACGATATGTGAAATATATGCTAATAAAAGTGTTTTATGAAAATGTAAATAAAAGAAATTGAGTGGAAGAAAGGGAAGAAGGGAAGCAGATAGAAAAAAAGGAAGGAGAGAATGAAGAAGGAAGCATCAATGCACGTGCTATTATTGTTTGAACAAATAGAACTTCCTTGATTCTAAAACTGCATATGCACACACATTAGCTAACACATCTGTTATTTTTGAACTTTCAGGTATCAACTGCTAGGTTCAATTGATTACCGTGAATGTGAACCAGATGGATGGAGTAATAACATTCCTTTATGTGAAGGTAGATGTGGCATTGTTTTACAAATATATTTAAATACCTAAACTATGAAATATTTTTCAAGATGTCTTACATTAAAATATCCTCAAATGTATGATTACATTTTTTCTTATTCAAACATCTAGGTCACTATCCAATGGAAATCAGAATTCCAGCTTCACAAATTTCTCCAATAACCTACCACTTGCAGAGATCTCTGCTAAAAGCAGAAGCAGATGAAAAGATTTAAGTATAGCTTCCCACTTTTATGAAGGAAGATTTTGTGACAGTCTTAGTCTTTACTGAGAAGTAGCAGAAATAAGAAATAAAGGAAAGACCTTCCCTTTCTTATTAATCAATAAAGCAAACACAGAAAGTATGTAAAATGTAGATCTTGTTTTTGAGTTTGAGTTAGGAATCCCAGTCTCTGCTCATCATGAAAACGAGAGTCAAAGACCAATTTCAAGTCTTTTATGATTTTTTGAAGAGCACATCTGAGTCACAGGAGCTTATTATTTTTTAAAGTTTTCAGAAAATTTTAAATGGCATTTGGCTAAAGGAATCGTGACTTTGAACCTACTCATTCTTCAAAAGTAGCAAGAATTTCATTGAAAATTCTTAATCCATCCAGCCCATGTCCCTTAACTAGCCCCATCCAGACGTCTTTTTGTTCCCAACCCTTTAAAAATAACACAATTTGAGTCCCTGGAGGATGCCTAACGTGACAGTCTAACGTGTATAAATATAAGGGCACAAATTCTTCGGGGAATAGTTCACACTATAAAACCCACTGCCACCCAGTCAGTTTTGACTCCCAGTGACCCTGTAGGCTTAGAGAAATGGAGCATGTGTAGCGCCATCAAGGGAGGATATTCAGGAAACAATGGCTTCACTTTTTGGTATTTTCATTTAATAAAAGCTTCTCTGATTTTGTAGGAATGTTTCACTTACACAAACAGACACGCAGATTTTTATGGTAAAGTTTTTAATTCTGTTGGAACAAAGTTACATTTATTTTTTCAGTTGTTAAGTGTGAACCCGTAACAGAACCAGAAAATGGAAGGGTCATCAGTGGTGCACTGGAACCAGACCAGGAGTATTCTTACGGACAGGTGGTCCAGTTTGAGTGTGATGCACGCTTCCGGCTAGATGGGCCTAAAGAAATTCATTGTTCAGCAGATGGGACATGGAGTGGAACAGTGCCAAGATGTGTGGGTAAGATGCATTGATATTTCACTTGATAGTTTGGTTGTTTTTAGTTTTTCTTATAAATATATTTCAACACATTGTCCATTATAAATGAAAATGTAATACTAATAACTGACTTCTAATTGAGCATGTATTATTTTTGTAATTGGTAGTACTTTACATGTGCTATCTCATTTTACCTTTTAAAAGTTATTAAATGTGTCTGCCATTATCATTTGTATTTTATGTTTGAAGAAATGGTGGTCCAAAGAAATCAAATTACTTACCCTATCATACTGAAACATAAATGACAGATTTATGATGCTGTTAATAATCAGTAGAATGCACTTGGTTCTTATAGGTGAAATAGAATGCTAAGTATCTTTGCTTCAGGCTATAATACTGTAATATTGAACTCCACATTGTGTATGCATTTGAATATATTTATAATTATATATCCACATACATATTTATGTTTATTTAAGAAGCAATAATGCATTTATAATTGGTTCACTTCATTGTGTTATGAAGATGTTCTATTTTTAAATAGCACTTCTAACAAGTGGGTTTGTTTTGCATTTGATATCTTGCACTGAGTTTCAGGTAACTATTGGATGAATTGAATTGAATACACTAAACGAATCTTTGCCTTTTAAAATAATTCTTTAGTAAACTGTAAGCCAAGATTTAGTTGTAATATTGCTGACCTATGATCAAATTCATGATTTTGGCCTTTTTTTCAAAATAGTGTGGTCAATTTATTTGACATTGAACCATACTTCATTTTACCAATAATTTGGCAGAAATTTCTTCAGTTTTTGTTTTCTAACATCATCAAAGTTTCTAAATTCTTTCCAGTCCCAAAGTTAGAACTATGCAGAAACATTTCATTCCTTAGGAACCCTTTCTAAAAGAATTATATCATGGAGTCAATGATGATGATAATACTATTCATCCAAGCAAATGCTGCATGTATTCCAAACTCTCATGGCATGGGGCTGGAGGATGTCACATTTACTATATTTCTATGCCTGGTAAAAGCTTCCTGGAGTTGCAGATACTTAAGAAAATCCTCAAGGAGAATTTTAGAAGAAGTTAAAGATGTTAAATGCTTTCCGTTGGAGGAAGACTCAAATGTATTGAGACTTCAAGGAGTATGGCATTCACTGATGCCTACTTATTGTTCATGGAGACCCTATTGTATGATGAAAATAGAAAGAAGACAAATGATGGATTAGAGATAGGCCAGTGCAAGGTTCTGGGTTGCTTTATGAAGTCATGAAATAAAAATGTCAATTACTTTTCAGAAATGTAGTGACAAGGAACTGAATCAATTTTATTGGTAAAGAGTTCAGTCCACTGATAACTGAAAAACGTGCAGCTTAGTAAAAATACTGTGTTAGACAGGGTTCTCTAGAGAGATACTTATCACAATAAATATTTATATTATGTAATTTATGTGTATATTTGAAGAATGTTACCTGTCACCATTTATTTAAAAATGATCAACCTATCCACTCAACAAAGAAAATTGCTAAATAAATTAGTCAATACATTAGTGTCATCAAAACTGAAAGAAAAGAATAAGAGATAAATTGGTCATAAAACATTCAAGTCAAAATGGAATTTTTATTTGGTTTCCTTGGCTGGAAAATGTAATAAAAAATGTTGTGTTCTTATGTAGTTTTATGTTGGTCATCATCCTTAAATTTATAATGAACATTCTGTAATTCACTCTCTTCTAATTAGAAATTTCCTGCAAAATACAAGAAATCACAAATGGGTATTCTATATCACCAGACAAAAAGTATAAAGAGAATGAGAGATTTCAATATAAATGCAACAAGGGCTTTGAGTACAGTGAAAGAGGGGATGCTGTGTGCACCAAATTCGGGTGGAGTCCAACTCCGGCATGCAAAGGTAATGGTATAGGCTCGCTCTACCTCTTGTGTTAAATAATTTTATCAAATATTTCTATTTGTAGTATCTTTTTAAAATGAACAATTAGTTTTCTCTCAAATGTAATATTAAGTTTATAGGTGTCAGTATTGTTAGAATAAATATTTCATCTAAGAAAAATATAGAACATAATTTTTTATTGGAGAGATCTACTTTGAAATAAATTGATATGAGGCTCTCATTTTGAAAATAGAAATAAACAAGGCCAGAAATTTTTAATACTTTACTAGGTAGCTAGTTCATTGTCATGAAGCATATTTCCAGCCAGAACTATAGCAGCCTTCCTAAGTCCCAGGCATAATCTATTCCTAAACAATTGCTGTCTTCTTTGAATATCCTTTTTTGCTTAAAAGAGCAAATCATATTAATTCCAGATGGAAAAATCAATTAATTGGAAGAATCAGAGGAGGGTGGGAGTCTACCTTGGAGATGAAGATGTAAAAGGACATTTTAATTAACTACAAGGATAATATGAATCAACAATGACATAGGTGCTTACAGAAATAATCTAACTAAGGTGGACTTCTTAATGGTAGTAGGTTCAACCAAAAGGTTAATCTCAGCTATTCTTTGTGCATAAAAAATGTATATCTGAAATATTGTGTTCTAAGAAGCATGATGTGTTTTTAAAAGGATGGTTTAAACTATCATAGTCAAGACAAAAGCATATGAGTATAGATAGTTGAAGTTTAAAAAAAAAATCACACTGTAAGAAGAAGAGAAAGAAGAAAAAGCTATCACATGAAAATACTAGTCTTGAGATATTTAGAAGCATCTATGAGAAGAATGAGTATGCTCCTTTTGAAGGTAGCCAACATCAATGAAACAAACATCAGTGTTATCCAACTTGGGAGCAGAAGAGAAACAAAAGACCGTGGTGGTCAAGTTGTACTTCACATGACAACCTTTGATCCAAACCTGTAGTGAACAGTGCAAATTACACGAACTAGGGATTTTTCTCAAGGGTCACTGCTAACCATAAGGCCCCTATTTGAGACCACCGACCACTCTGTGAGAGATGAGCCTCTTGGCTCCCGTCAAGACTTGCAGCCTCAGAAACCCACAGGAAAAGTTCCACTCTGTCCTACTTGTTTTCTATGAGATTTAATCGACTGACTGGTAGTGAGTTTATTTCAATAAATTTAAATGTGTTGAAACACATAAGGGTCTGTCAGAGTTCAAACTACTTTATTCAAATTAAAATATTTCAATGTTGTAATAAAGCACAACTTCTTTTCCTGTGCACTGAAACTCTTAAAAGCTAGAATTTTTCTTATAAAGAAGCTTGGAGTCAACCTCACCCCTGAGATATTTAACAGAAATTATCCATTGACTTCTCTATATTAAAATGTATTATGAAATGTTTATTGTACAATTTGAAGAAGAAAACTTAGATTTCCAAAATATTGATGAAAATTACTACGGAGTCTTATATCTTCAAAATTCTCAAGAGCCCTACCAGCTTTCAAATATGTGTTTTTGAATTTTTAAAAAATATTTCCCACTCTTCTTAAACTGTGTTCTGGCTTTGCAATATCCAACTAGCAGTCTCTGAACAGAACACACAGCCTCCCATAGCTCACGGAAGAACCTGTTGCCAACTAATCAATTCTAAAACACAGTCACCGTATAGCACAGAGAATAACTTCCCCTTTGGTCTTTCCAAACATTTAAGTCTTTTTACGGCTGCACAATGACTGATGGGTTTGAACCACTGACCTTATGATTGGCAGCTCAATGTCTAACTAACTAGTTACCATGGGTCTACATATAGAGCTTGCCTTAGAAGTCCCTTAATACCTAATTCATTTAAAAATATTTCTTACCTTTGTATCCAATCCTGTAATTTGTGTGTCTGAATTCTTCTCATATTTAAAACTAAGATGATAAATTAATACAGTAGAATAACTAAAAACAGAAAATAAAGTTGAAACCCGTATTTAAGAAACTAGAGCTAATGCAATCTATCCAATGAAATTTTCTGAATCAACTCCCCAAATAACTCCAGGAAGAGGCCTCAGAACAAAGAACAAAGACCCCAAGAAAAACGATGCTCTTGGGCTTTGTTAACTGCTAATGATGAGAAATGAGTGAAGTGGCTTCAAGAAAGTAAGGTGACTCTGGGGCAATACATTTGGGACAAAAAAAGTAAATTAGGGGCATTTGCATGAGTTCATGGAAATACTGAGCTTCTATGCAGGTTTTTAGTCAAAATTACAACATGGTGTCAATATAAACAATCATGACACTTTTGTACTGCAATACTTAAAAGGAATGATAATCAATTTGAAAAAACGACATTTTTTTCATTGTTGAACTTTGGCGTTTGATGTAGAGGAATAAATAGGGACTTTTTCAATTGAGATAGACTAGGTCAGAGGATGGTTAATTATAATTAATGTTTAGAAAAGCAGAGTCTACTTCTCAGCACAATTTAATTAGAATATAGCTATAGAAAATCACACTAACAAAAACATATCTCTAAATCTCAGTAGTCTAATAAATCAGAGTGTTTTCTATTCATGCTTAATTTCCAATATAGTTTAGAAGGCACCTCTATTCTTTATGATAATTTAATACATACTTGATAGGATATCTCTCAGTGTGCATCCCTAATCACTAGAGCCACGGGAAAGGGTACATACAAAGTCACACCATGGTTTCTAAAGCTTCCTCCTTAGTGACTTATGTGACTTCCCCACTCCTTTCATTGGTCACTGCAAGTTGGCCATGTCTGCATCAAAATGTTAAGGTTGTGTAATACAACCATATGTCTGGAGGGACTAAACCCAGAATTCGTATAAATACTTATTGTGACAAATAAAATTTTCACTAAAGAGAGTGAAGGGAATGAAGGGAATATTTAAAGTGATATGGGAGATCGTTGGCAGAGATGGAATGTTATGGGGAGTATGAGGACTTTGTAGAAATAGAACGATCATGTCCCAAGGGAACAGTTACAGCAGATAATCAATATTGTGTTGGGATATTGAGAGATATAGCAGGAAGGACACAAGACTGTGCTTATTGGACTTAGGATAAATAACCTCTACTTTAAAATGTTTTTCATAAACGGAACTCTGTTTGTTTTTTCAGAAGTCATATGTAATCCTCCTAATATTGCAAATGGTTTCTTCGAACCTCAAAGGATCACACACAGAAGTGACGATGAAATCAGATACAGTTGTAAAGGTGGCTTTTATCCTACAACCAGAGGAAATACAGCACTGTGCACTAGTCGTGGCTGGGAACCTGTGCCGAGATGTAGTTGTAAGTTGCAATGATGTCCTGATCTATTTTTCAAATCCTGAAATGAATTACCACTACATAGAAAAGCCATAACCACAAGAAAAGCATACATTTTTCTGATCGTGTACGTAAATTAGAACCCCTTTGCAATTCTATGTAAAGTAAGCATTCCAAGCTTTTTAAGGAGCATGTATATGTTTTAAATGCTGTTAATTTGTTTAATCACTCAAAATTGTGTATATGTATGTGTGAATAGGAACATGTATTTCTATCAATAATATTGCTCTTCCAATATCAGAATTAAAGCATGAGGAATAACAGTAGCACCTAATACTTTGCTACTGATCAATTGCTGTGCAACAGAATTCATCTCAATATGTATTGGCTTAAAACAACAAACCTTTATCATCTCCTGATCTTTATCAGTCAGCAATTGGAAGCGGGCTTAGCTCTTTGTTCTGTTCCAGACTCTCTCCAGTAAGCTGACCAGATGATTGCAATGTTTCCGCAATCACCTGACGGCTTGACTGGGCTGGAGCATCTGCTTCCAAGGTGGCTCACTCACGTGGATTTGAGGAAGAGGCATCAGCTTCTTGACACGTGGACCCTCCAGGCACTGCTTGAGTTGCAGCTAACTTTCCTCACAGCTGCTCTGGGCGTGTTATGAGGAGGAACCCATGCTTGATAAAGTGGTGGAGCGGCACAAAGGGGAAGACTTTTGACCAGAGGGATTGACCAGTGGCTGAAATGGTGGATGTAAACACAAGAACGATTAGGAGGATGGGCCAGTCCCAGGCAGTGTTTTGTTTTGTTCTCTTGCACATAAGGTCACTACTCTGACTCAGAACAGACTCCACAGCACCTAACGAGAACAAGAACAAGAATCAACAGAAACAACAGTTACCAGAGACATACAGATCTTGTAAAAGAGACAAAAACCAGACTCAAATATGCCCCCGCCCCAAATAAACTCACTGCCATCAAGTTGATTCCAACTAATAGTGATTCCAACTTCTGCCATATCCATACCTTAGACATGAGAAACTAAGTCCAGCACACACTCAATAGGAGGGAAATGAGGCACCATGATTTGAAAGAGGTGTTGAAAAAGCTTTATAATTTTAAGTAATTATTACATAAAGCAAATTGTGACTCAGTATACTGGTGCTTTCTCTGTCCTTTGTAAGTTTTGTTTTTAATTTCTGGATTTTCACTCTTAATTTTTTGTTTGTTTCTATCTTACAGTACACTATATACCATCATTACATTGGATATTCCAGGAAATAAAATACATAAATAGTGATAAAAAATGAGGCCTAATACTTCAATATTATGACAGATACAATCCTAAGATAAATGAACAAATGTCTAAGTTCCTAGCAAAGAAAGCTACTATCACTCTGAAACTGATTTCAAAATGAACAGGAATTATATGGAAAATATTAAATAATTTTTATGCTTTATTTTACTAATGAGAGAGCAGCCCAACCATCTATGGGTGAATTCAGACCAAATTTCATTGGGCCTTCCACAAAGGACCTTCTAGAATTCTTGGGGACAAAATAGAGAAACTGTCTTGTCCATCAGATAGTTGGTTATGTCTTTAAATGTTACATGAAGATCAGGTGCAGGACTCTGTTTCTATAATTATCCCATTAATAATTTATGCCATAATATAGTCTAGAAATTTAGGAGACATTCAGAACAAATTCACTCATGAACATGAATATGAATTAGGAGAGATTCTCCATTCAAATGCTAGAATGATTCCAATAATGTGAAAATGTTGCAGCAATTATTATATGATATGGGATTAGATGAACGGAATCAACTGCACTTGGACAGACTTCTTAGCAATCATTATACAATCAGTCAGTATTTTAATCTTTTTTAAAGATCAGTTTGAGTTAGCATTGTATTGTTACCAACACTGAAAGAAAAGCCTTTAATGAAACCACAGTCTCTGTTAAGTGGGAAAGAGGTGCAAGAGTCTATTCTTAGTTCTGTGGATCTTAATGATGGTCAGACTGTATGTGGAATTTTGCATTCACTTCAGGGAAAGATCCTGTAAAAGTGACAAAACCCAGATCCAAACATGCCCACCCCAAAACAAACTCCCTGCCATCAAGTTAATTCCAACTAATAGTGACCCTGCAGGACAGAGTAAAACTGCCCCTGGGGGTTCCCGAGGTTATAAATCATCATGGGGGTAGAAAGTCTCATCTTTCTTCCATAGAGTGGCCAGTGGTTTTGAACTGCTGAACTTGTGGCTTGAAGTCAAAGAAGAACCCACCAGTAACTCAGAGTTCTCTACTGGGTACCTTAGGGACCCTGAAATCAAGCGTTCAGAATTCCAAATAAATAATGAGAAATGATTATATAGGGGCTCACACATGTGGTATAAGGAAATTACTTTTGGTCATGTATCCATTTTGTACCTTTGGGAAATTTTTTTCTGCTAACTATTTTATTTATTCATCCTATGAAACATAATAATGAGGTGGACAAGCAAACTTGCACTGAAAATCTGGGGACTAGGATTTAAATCTCAGTTGTACAAGTTAATGACTAATTTCACTGGGTAAATCTGCATCACAAATTCTGTTTAAAGTCTTGAAAAGCAAGGATGTCACTTTGAGAACAAGGGTTTGGCTGCAGAAAAAAGAAAAAAAGGAGAACAAGGGTTTGTAGGACTGAAGCCATAATATTTTCAATGGTCTTATACGCATGTGAAAGCTTCACATGGAACAGTGGTTCTCAACCTGTGGGTCACGACCCCTTTGGGGGTTGAACGACCCTTTCACAGGGGTTGCCTGATACATAACAGTAGCAAAATTACAGTTATGAAGTAGCAACGAAAATAACTTTATGGTTGGGGGTCAGCACAACATGGGGAACTATATTAAAGGGTTGCGGCATTAGGGAGGTTGAGAACCAATGACATGGAATAAGGAAGACCAAAGAAGAAGCAGTGAATGTGAATTTTGGTGCTGATTAAAAATATTGCGAATATTTTGGACTGCCAAAAGAACAAACAAAGCTGACTTGGAAGAAGTAGACTCAGACGCTCCTTGGAGCCAAGGTTGGTGAGACTTCATCTAACATACTTTAAACGTTTCATCAAGAGACACTAGTCCCCGCAGAAGGAGACGTTCCTTGGAAATGTAGTGGGTCATTGAAGCGTAAGAAGACCTGCACCAAGATGGACGGGCACAGTGGACACACAGATGGGCTCAAACGAGTGAAGATGGTGCAGGGAAGCAGTGCTTTGTTCTGTCGTGCATTGGTCACCATGGATCAGAATGGACTCAACGTTGTCTAACGACAACAACGTGCCTTTAATTTTACATTCCAATAATTCCTTGCTGATTCCCAGTGTATTCTCTCTTTATTTTATATTTTTTGTTTGTTTATACAAGAGTTGATTAGAATTAATGGAACAGATTGAGGTCCATTCCCCAACCTAAAGAAAAATAGTACATATGAACATTTATACAGATGTGCCAGGCATTATTTTTTAAATTAATTTTTTTAAGTGATGGGATCTCAACTGACATAATTGGTGTTGTAACTTGATAAGTGATGATGGCAGCTAACAACAATGTTTTCTGTAAATGGAAGAATCATATGTAGTGGAAAATTGAATTGTCTGGTCTTAGAATTATATCTTTACATTATCCTATAAATATAGCACAAGTTCTGAAAAATAGGCTTGTCCTGTTGATAAAGAAAATAGAATTTATTGACATAAGCTAAAATTACACTTAATAGAATAATTTAATAAAATACAATTGCATTTTGCTTGATTCACAAGTAAATATTTTATAAAACTTTAAAGAAACACCTTATCCTCAATTAAAATGAGAAATTATCAAAACTTTAGCTCAGTCTTAACTCCTTGTATATTTCAATTATTCTTACTCTAAAATTTCTCATATACCCTGCTCTATCTGAGTAGATATGGAGGCAAATAGCAAGTAGTATTCTGGTTTCTGCTGGGGATAAAAAGAAAGAAGAGCAGACAGATAGCTGGATGGTAAATTTAGCCTCTTGGTCCTTTAACAGAATGGTCCACTGTTAGGAAGAGGTGTCCTCAATGAGACCAGCTCACTGGTCTTGCAATTGTCTTTTTAGAGAGTACATACATAATGGTATACATCATTAGATCAATCAAAGGTAACTTCATCCTCATCAGCAAAGATGATCTCCAGTATCTCAGTGATATAACTTCTATGTTCCGTGAAAATTTAATTACTAAGATAAAATATGATTTGCACTCTTTATTTTTATTCCAAGGGCAGCCTTGTGCTTTTCCAAAAATCAATCATGGGCATCTGCATCATGCAGAGAGATATCGACCGTACTTTCCAGTAGCAACAGGGAAATATTACTACTACTCCTGTGATTCGGGTTTTGTGACACCTTCGCAGTCTTCTTGGGAATACATTACCTGCACGAGAGAAGGATGGACGCCAGAAGTCCCATGCCTCAGTGAGTGAACGTCCTTAAAATTGGATATGGCTGACTCTTTCAAGAGCAGCGGGAAGAGCTCAGAAGTGATTGCAATTGTATCTTGTACCATTATATGGAGCCTTCAGAAGAGTGGTCGCAGCAAAAACCCAAAGAGTCGTGTGCTTTTGTGAATGAGTATTCATGAAACTCAAATGAGAAATAGAGGAGAAAATGTATAAAAATATCCCCGAGTTATACTGCAAATATTTGAATTATACAAACTTAGCGTAAATAGCTCTGAATATATATTTTTCTTCTAAAACATATTTTGGAGTCGCCTGACTTTCTGTCTTCTAATTCATTAGTTTTAGAATCTTACATGCGCTTATTAAAACACTGCAGAAATAAATTCCAATACACTTTCTGACCTGATTTGCACTTTTAACTTATTACTACTATTATTGTTGTGGTCCTTAGGAAAATGTCACTTGTATGAAGTGGAAAATGGATATGTTTATCATGCACAGCGTTATTATCTACAAGGCCAGTCTGTAAATATTCGGTGTAATCGTGGCTACAGTCTCCCGAACGGACACACCTCCATCACATGTACGGAGCAGGACTGGTCCCCTTCTCCCAGATGCGTTCGTGTCAGTAAGTAATATCTCAGACGGTTTGTAATTTCATAGCACTGGTATACACTCACCGTGGAGAATGCATGTGTCTTGATTAGTCAACGGACAAGAAGTATTGTTTTGCCTATGTGCGTATGCATTATATAAAAGTTTATATCTATATAAGCTTCTTAATAAATATTTAGCAAAATAAATAAACCTGTTTACAGATCAAAGGAAAAATACAGTAGTTTATTTTTGTTAAGTGGATTGTCCAGCTTAAAATTTGGAGCTTCATGAATGTATACCTTTTTGTCTTTCGTGATATCTGAAAAGTTTTCAAATACGAACGGTTCAACATTACCCTGTGTGGGGTTTCTTTGTTTGTTTGTGGCCTCCTTCTATTCTGAATTTCAACATATGAAAATAGATTCTCTTGATCATGTCCCACATAATTCTTAAGCTTTCTTAATATTTTTTTAAATTTTTCCTCACATAAATTAGTATTTGGGTTTTTATTTTTATTCACCAAATTAGCATACAGTTAATTGGATTCTATAATTGATTGAATACTACTCTTTGTTCCTTGCAAAATTTTAATATTAATCTCATGGATTACTACTTGCTGTTTGTGTATGGTCTCAAATTGTCGATTTATTTGATCATATTCCACTTGCATTGTTTTCTTGAATTCATGCATGGTGTTGTCTGGGTTTTTTTTTTTCTTAATTTGTTTGTGGTTTTCTTGAAATATACATAGTTTTAAAAATTCCTCTGCAGGCATTATTCTTCATCAATGAGATTTTCTGATTGATTCATTTATTTTTTTTATTTTGGTGGCTTGCTATTTGTCCTTGTCCTGTTTCTGTTCTTGATTTGCAGTTGTCTGTTGTTTTGAGACATTTTGGAGTTGTGCTTACTTGTTGATTACATGTTGGTATGTACAACCAGAATTTTGCTCTGCTCTATCTGGGTGAGTGCATGCTGCCTTGGATGCTAGTTTGACAGCACTCCTTAGGTGAAGTAACTGGTTGGTAGTAGGAGCATCGGTCTTTATTTTCTGGTCATAAAGGGCAGCTATGATGGGGTGAGAAGTTGTCCGCTCTCTGTCATTGGTTCAGCTGTGGAATAAAAGAAAAAAAAAGGAAGCAGATCACGAATAGATGTTTGCTCCCCATGTTCATCACAGCACAGTTCATAGCAGCAAGAACCTGGAAACAGCCTAAATTCCCATCAGTAGACGATTAGATGTAGAAACCCTGGTTCATACACATGAATACTACGCATCGTCCCCAAAACAGTGTTAAATCCAAGAAGCACCTCAAAACTGGAAGGAACTGGAAGATTGATATTATGCCGAATGAAGTTAGTCAAGCACAAAAGGACAAATACTGTATTGATTCCACTTCTCTAAGAACAACAGCAAACTGGTCACACACTCAGGCTGACAGACACCCAGTTTATTGGCTGGGGTGGGAAGGCACTCAGCCTGGTAGAGAGCCTGACCAGGGTCAATGAACCATACCACATCTGCTCTAGGTAGGGATTTTGAAGGTCAGTAGGCCAGAGGGCACCTCATGTCAGCCAGGATCAAATGGTAAAGGGGAAGGGGAGATGCCTCTTGAGAACCTGTCCTCCTTCCCAGGTGACAACCCTGTTGGATAGAGGAAGAATACTGACACGAAGAACAACACAGGAGAGAGGAAAGGAGGAAAACAAGTCTGGAGGGAAAAATGCATTTCTGCTGCTAGGAAAACAAGGACTGAATTCCAGTTGTGGGGAAGAATGGCTAAAATGCTTGGGGGACACGTAGGGAGTGCCTTTGGTGGGAAGCACCAGATGGACAACATTGAGCAGGCTTCTGAATGAATCCTGGGGACAAGGCCAGGTGCCAAGGGGCACTGGGACACAATCCCGAATCTTTGATCCTTATTTCAGAGGCTGCCCTAGTGAGATCTGATGCGGAAACTCCACTGGGTGATTTGGACTCTATCTCAGACACACTTGTAACCTGAGGATTTTTGTCAGAAAATACATGGTGTCTGAGGAAACAGAAGACAGCTGTATCAAATTTGGTGAATTGCTGGAAGTGGACAAATATGGTCTTGTTATGTAAATGCCCTATATGCTGGATTAAGATATGTATTATGCTGGAAACCCTGTGATCAACACACTGTTTTATTTGGTTTATGTTTGTTCATATTAGGGAGTATCACAGAGATACATCTCTGGGGGTATAGCCTTTTCAAGTTGTGGTCTTGTTTTTTCTGTTTTTCATTAAAGGAAAGCCAGGATTGATGAATCTGTAGGGATAGCAAGTAGAACACAGATATTGGCGAGGAAGGGGCTAGTTCAGGCATGGGCATGATAAAAGGGAGACAATGGTAAGGAGTCCTGGCAAAAAAGTATGTTTGGAAACTGATTATGAAAGTAATGGTATAATTCTGTTTTATGTGACTGAACTGTGGAATTGCATAACATTTGTATTAACATCCAAGTAATAAAAAATAAAACATAGATCCAGGACTGGGAATTGGGCTTACACGAAATCCTAGCTCCAATGTCAGAACAATTAGTTCTTACATCATGGTCCTACGTGATATTCATCCTCAGAAAAGAACACAGAAGAGACGGGTGCAACAGCAAAAGGTGGTGAAGAATGTAGATGAAATAGCCCATATATCAGATGAAATAGCATCTGGGGTCTTAAAGACTTATCTCCAAACGGGCAGCCATCTAAGTGAGATGTCAACTAAGTCCACATGGAAAAAGCATGCCATCATCAGTCACCAAAGGGTTATGAATCACATAATCTGAAGTCAAAAAAGGGATTTGTATCAGAGCCTAAAGTGTGAGAATCTGGTTTGCAGAAGAAGGTTGTGGATGAGAGTGGGAGCCCAAGATTCATTTGTGGAACCACATAGGAAATAAGCCTCTGAAGAACTCCTTCTATCCACACTTGAGGGATAAGAGGGATGTGGTTACTAAAGATATTGCATTAGAGTGTTGAGTATACAAGATCAAAGGTATAAATCTGTTTTGAACAATTAAAACTTTGTCAACAGACCCCCCTAGGATGCATGTTGGGCTTGATCTTGTTTCCAAAATTTTCTGTACATTGTTTGCATTGTTTTGTTTGTTCATATTAGGGTGTATCTAATGTGGTGTATCTCATGTTAGGGTGTTATGTTTTTGGGGGGCTCACCCTGTTGAAGTTGTGTTAGATGTTTCTCTCTTTTTCAATATAGGAATCTTAGGATTGATGAACATATAGAGATAGCAAATGGAACAAGGGTTTTGGTGAGAAAGAGGTGCAGTAGTGATTGTAGGGTAAAGGGGAGATGATGTCAAGGAATGAATATAGAAAAATTATGTTTGGGAACTGATTGTGATAGTAATTGTACAATTCTGCTGTACGTGATTTAACTATGGAAGAAAATGATATATGGACTAAATCTAAAGTAATGGGATAAAAAGAAAGAAGAAAAACATTGTTGAAGATAGAGGATCAGCCCTCAGATCTGAGAGCATGGGCAATGTGAATGAAGAGGAGCTCATTTCCTAGAGCGGAGTGAACCATAATGATGTGGTTTGCATAAACCCTGTGGGAGTGGGATCTTCAGAATCTTCATTTGCTGATGGGGCATAAATCAAGGTAAAGAGAAACAGCTGCAAAAGCATCCTAATGATTGGAACTTGGAATCTGTGAAGTATGAATTCAGTAATATTGGAAGTAGTCAAAATGAAATGGAACATATAAAGATTGATTGATATCGTAGGCAAGAGTGAGCGGAAATGGACCGGCATTGGCCATTTTGAATCAGAAAATCATATGATTTCATATGCATGGAATAACACAATCAAGAGGAATGGCATGACATTCATTGTCATAGAGTAGCTTACTAAATTCAGGTGACCAGATTTAAAGCGGGACACCATGACCAGAGGCGGGGGGTGTTCATGATTAAAAAATTGGTCTATATAGACCAAATAGACTGTTACCTAGCTTGTCGTGCATTCTTTCCAAAAATCAGGACTTTTTAAAAACGCCAAAAACTGGGACTGTCCCACCAAAAGCGGATGTCTGGTCACCTTATACTAAATTCATCATGAAGTACAATGTTATCTGTGGTTAGATTATATCTGCCCACCTTCAAGGAAATCAAATCAATAAAACTATTATTCAATTTCATTAACCAACCACAAAAAATAATGATGAAGAAATTGAAGAATGCTACACATGCCTTTCGTTGAAAATTTATCAAATATGCAATCAATATACATGGATACTTATTGGTGATTGGAATGCAAAAGTTGGAAACAAAGAGAAGGAATAGCTGTTGGAAAATATAGATTTGGTGATAGAAATGAAGCTGGAGATCACATGATAACATTTTGCAAAACCAGTGACTTGCTCATAGCAAATACCTATTTTCAACAACACAAAAGGCTACAATGTAGATGGACTTCCCCAGATGGAATATATAGAAATCAAACTGACAACATCTATGGGAAGACATAATGGAGAAGTTCAAAATCAGCAGCTAAAACCAGACTAGGGGCCACAAAATGATCATATATAAATTAAGGATAAAAGTGAAAAAAAATTAAAGAAATCCGCAAGAGTAAAAATGTGACCTTGAGCCATCAATTTTGAGAATACCTCAAGAAAAGAACTGATGAATTGAACATTAATGACAGAAAATCTTATGAGCTGTGGGAGAATATTAAAACCATCATTCATGAGGAAAGCAAACGATCAAAGTGGATGTCTGAAGAAACTCTGAAACTTACTCTTAATCCCAGAGTAGACAAAAGAAAGGATGAAGTCAAGGAGTTGAATAGAAAAATTTCAAAGTGTAGCTAGAGAAGAAAAAGCCATGTATTATAACAAAATGTGCAAGGACCTAAAATTCGAAAACCAAAGGGGAAGAACATGCTCAGCAAATCCGACACTGAAAGAACTCAAGGAAAAATTCAAGCCTCAAGTTGAAATTCTGAAAATTTCTATAGACAAAATATTGACTGCTGGAGGGAGCA